ATTACTGAAGAAAGTTAAGTTGACCATGTGTCTCAGCAAGAAGTTTACAATTCTATTTCTCAGTTATCAGCTTCTCATCTATGTAAATACCCAATGAAATGCAGACTACAATAATATATTTTGTTAGAGAGAATACTAATCTTTTCCTAAAATTTTCCTAGTCATAAGAAAATAATTTGCTGAAAGAACATTTTTTTTGCCTTTGCTTCCTTTGCTTTTCAAATATTTTAAGAAAAAACAAACAACAAAAAAACCCAAACATTTCAGTTCAGTGACATAGCTTTTGCTGTTTTAACCACAGCATAGATTACAAATCTATTAAATACAAGTAACATATGTAAGTATCTAAAAGAATACCAATAAATACATTAAAATAGCCTCTCTAGGATGGCAGTAAGTTCATCCTTCTAAAAACTATTTGGCAATTTCACCTGTATTTCAAATTTACTAATTCTTTGCTTATAACCTAGACCCAGGAAATATTATACTTTGACAACACTGTATTATATGCTTATATTTCAGAAAATAACAGTGCAACATACCTCCTACCAAAATAATACTGCCCATAGTAATTTTGTGTAAGATTGGTAAAATGTCCAAGATCTGTGAAAAAAAGAAAAGTTAATCAGCAATCTGAAAGAAAAAATCATTATTAAATATTCTAAAGTCAGAACTCAGTATGATACATCATAATCATACGATGGGACTATGTAATTATATAACTAAAGATCAGAATTAATTTAGGCTGCTTTTCTTGAAAATGGGCACCTTGAAAATATATTTTCCTTCCTACTGTGTATTCTGAAACACTGTTATAGAAATAATAAAACTCTGGTATTTTTATTTTGCAGGTATCAAGACAGTGAAGTATGCACAATAACAATAGCAACATATAATGTGTAAACTCTTGACTGGCATGCACTTTCTGAGGGTTGCTTCAGAAAAATATACAGCCCACAGCATTGATTCTCTAGGTCTCTTTCAGTGTCTCCATTTTCCTACACAAAATTTTATCTATCCACATAAATTCTGTTCTGTAATGTTGTTGTGTCATTAGCTTACTCCTAATGACACAATAAATACTGTTAAAATATGTTAAAGGACAGCCTCCTTTGTGAAACTGCAAATACCAGTAATACCCCTGAACTTCAAACTCTGAAGACATTCAAGAGCAAGCTTGTGTCCACTATCTTAGATCTCAATCTTTCAGTTTTTCCCACTAGTACTTTCACATCAAGTAAACCCATAGTTCTTGACAAAACCTGGCAGCCTGTAACACTGAATGCTGCCAGGCTTCTCCTAGTAAGGTGCAGCAGGTCCTCCAGATACTGAAGTGGTCAACTATCTTTCTGAAATTTTAATATATATATATTTATATATATATACACACACACACACACACACACACTGACTTTTTTCGAAAAAAAAAAAAAAAAGATCATTAATCATAGATCACTGGTGCTCTGGGAGTTTACCTCTCTCTCATCCTGCAAATACAACAGACCAGCTGCTGTGCTGTTACCTAGTCCCCAGTACACATTCCATCCAGAACACAATATAAAAAGTAAAGTACAAAAGCCTCTACTAACCTCATGACTCATGGCACATTTGCCATTTTGCCATTTGCTTTATAATCATGCGGACCACAAACCGATTGTCACATACACAGAAATTAATTTAGCTGTTAGCTGACTTCTGATGTCTCACCGCTACCATTAGAAACGGAAGAGCTATGGCCTTTATGACACATGCTTGCATGCACCTCTGAGCCCACATGTTCCCTGTGGGGAACAGATGAGTCCAAGTGTACCTTCAGCTCCTGCTTCCTACTGATCTCCATGGTAAGGAAACCATGTTCTATCATGCATGGAGAGAATTTCAAACTCTTAAATATTCTTAAGTATTCCTCAGATCACCATGTAAGTCTATTTTTCAGGCCTAATAGTGCTGCTGCAGCATGAAATATCTTAACCAAGCACTACCAACTTGTACTCAAAATATAAGTGCCCCAGAATCTCCACTGTTTTTTGCTTATATACAGATCAATCTGTAACTATCTCTTGGGCTACTGGCAAGTACCAGTTTAGTTTCTGCGCAAAGTTCTTCTTTCTTTCTGCAGTATCCCTGTTACCACCTTGAATGCAGTTAAACAATTAGTGCTTTCCTTCATTCAAAGACTTATTGAAAACCAGAGAATAAGCTACCTAAGGTTTCTCACATAACATTCAGATTTCATTAGTGAGCTGAATTTTTCTCCCACTGTTTGGTCTATAAAACTGTAGAATTGTAAATAAGCATAAGTACAGCACAAAAATTGCACTGCCTAACAAAAAGAAACACTGCTTCCAGACCTTAAAACCATGCAGACCTGCATCGTGAGTCTGCATGAACAAAATGTAGTTTAGCAAGCCACACATTAAAGCCAGAAGTTCTGACTGCTGTCATGGTTAAGTACTGCATTGAATGTGGCTATTTTACCAAATGTTCCTGGAGACAGAACAAGCAGTAAACCACCTCAAAGCCTCCTGCCACCAAAAGGTGGTAGGTCCAAAAGTACACCAGGTTCAGAATAAAGATACGTAGATTACAATTTGTTAAGTTACTGAACAAACCAGCAATTCTCTTGATGGTCACTTTGTCCATTATTTTTTATCACCCAACCAATTTCTAATTAAACTTTGGATTACTCACAACAAAATGGCTCATAGCTGCACCACTATGTTATGTAGCTCTTAAGTGCATAACCCAAGTTCCTCAAAATGATTATTCTGTTACATGAGGATCAGCGTGGCCAAGTCAGATATGGTGATGCACTCTCTGAGCCCTTTCCAATAGCCAGTGGTGTGAAAAAAGTTTGCGTTCTCGCACCAACTTTATTCACAATCTTCTTCAGCATGATGCTCCAAAGGGCTACAGTAGACCTCGACAAACAAAATGGCATTTATATTCGAATTCGTACCGATGGGAGCCTATTCAATCTAAGGCGACTGAAGGCCCACACTAAGACCCTAAATCACCTTGTTTGTGAACTGCTTTTTGCTGCCGCCGCAGCCTCCCTTGTTGCCCACACAGAAGCAGTTCTGCGGCGCTTAACATCTTGCTTTGCAGAGGCAGCTGAGCTATTTGGGCTGGAAGTCAGCTTGAAGAAGACAGTAGTTCTCTACCAACCTGCACCACAAGAAGATAGCCATCATCTCCACATTACCACTGGCGAGTCAGAGCTTAAGTCAGTTCAGCAGTTCAGCTATCTGGGAAGCATTATTTCCTCAGATGCCACAATCGACAAAGAGATAGATAACAGAATAGCAAAGGTACACAGAGCCTTTGGAAAACTCCATAAAAGAGTCTGGTGCAATAAACACCTGAAGAAAAGTACAAAGATTAGTGTCTATAGAGCCATTGTACTGTCTACTCTCTTATATGGATCTGAATCATGGGTTATCTATCGCCATCACCTGCGATTCCTCGAACGCTTCCATCAGCACTGCCTCCTTACAATTCTAAACATCCATTGGAGTGACTATGTGTCAAATGTTACTGTCCTTGAACTGGCAGGGGTCACCAGTATCGAGACCATATTGCTGAAATTGCAGCTGCACTGGGCAGGGCACGTCTCCAGGATGGAGGATCACCGCCTCCCTAAGATTGTGTTTTACAGTGAACTCGCCACTGGCTGCAGCAAGAGAAGTGCCCCAAAAAGGAGATTTAAGGACTCCCTGAAACAATACCTCAGCCTTGGCCATATTGACTACCATCAGTGGTCCACCCTGGCCTCCAATTGGGAGACTTGGAGACACACCATACATAATGATACTGTCTCCTTTGAGAACCCATACAGAATTAGTCCCAAGGAGACAAGACAACATAGAAAGAATTCTATCTCATCTCTACCACCCAAGGAGACTTTTTGCTGTGCTTTTTGCAATCAGATTTGCCTATCCCACACTGGCCTTTTTAGTAACAGCATGCTTGTAGTAAGCGTGGGTAGAGCCCTTCCCAAATCTTCATTCGCGAAGTCAAGCCATCACCAGCATAATTCATTAGTGCACTCTGCTAAATGAAAAAGGCTGAGTATCATACAACAATCTGCTTTATCTTAGGTCCTTCAGCAAGAAAAGGTATAGAGGTGAGAGCTCCTCATCTGAGGACTGCTTCCACTCTTGACAACAGAACTGAAAAGGGAGCCTTTTAAAATACAGCCATATGATTGATTAAAGATTTACCATCTACAAAGACAGTTTCAACCACAGACTTAATAAATTCAGTATCTCCTTTTAAAAGCCTTTATTGCAGTAACTTTACTTTGTTACAGCTTATACTTTGTCGGGGAATAAAATCCTCTCGCTCTGACCATTCATTTCTCCATTAAAAACAAAGGGGAAAAGACATAATCATGAGGAAAGGATTAATCAACACAGATCACTTGCAGCAAATGCAGCAGTTACTGCTTTTTTTCCTCACTTTCTTTCTCAAAAGTAAAAGCAGAAACAGCTTTACTAAAATTCCATTGACGAACTATCACAAAGTCCCATTTTGTTACTGCAAAGTCTTCCCCAACCAGCAGAAAAATTGTTTAAAGGCAATACAAACCCATGCAACCCCAGGTCAAAGAATCTTCTCTTAAATTAAAATGAACATTCAGGGAGACCTGAAACTCCATGTGCTGGGTCCTATCTGCTCTAAGCAGAAACTCCCAGTTGGAATCGTGCAGCACTCTCCAGCCAGCAGACCAGCTGGCCATCTGCCTGCATTTGCCTCTTCAATGCTAATTCCCAGTTCCCAGAAGCACATGCTGCAGCTTCAATTCACTTTGCAGTTGGCTGTTCCATGTTTATAAGTTATCTGGCTGGTATGGATACATAACTTTTTTAAGATATTGGAGCATACAAGTACCTATTCTTTAAACAAGCATAAATCACTGAAAATAGGCAAAGAAGATGACCTGATTACAAGCAAGACTGAAAAAAGATAGTTCTGGAGTTCTAAGAACAAGAACATACCTGATTTGGCTGACCTAGGAGATCAGGCCACCAGCACAGCAAGTTGCCTTCTGCTGTCTGTTGATTCAAAGGAGAAGTAGGAAGCTGACAATAGCCTGTTTTACTCAGTGTTACATTACAAAGGAGAACTATTTCCCTATGTTCCTTACAATTCGGGGGGGGGGGTGGCACGGGGATATTTTCATGCTGCACAGATTTTTGTACTTTTGAATGACCACATGAGCTATCAGCAGAATATTTACCATCCTCTGTCCCCACTGCCTTTGCACACTAGTGCAGCCAATTTATAAAATTACCATGCTGTTACTGCTTGAAGTAAACTCTAGAATGCCCATTAATACTAGAAGCAAAAATATGTATGAGCAAGGTAAAACCCTCAGTTCTGTGCTCTCAGACATTATAATGAACCTGACCTAGCTGAGAAAAAAAATATAGCTAATAGGTTTGCAGATATTTAATTAACTAGAATTTGGTTAGGTTGCCCAAGTAAATCCTTTCTTACATGTTCCTATGTTTGTTGTAAGTCATTCAAAGAGTCATTGAAGCACCCTGTATCATAATACTGGCGCTCAAAATCACAGGGTAAACAGCATTAGTCACATTAAGAGTTAACAGAAATCCAAATAAATCCCATCAGAAGAGGTACTTTGCAGTATGCATGGATATAAGAAGAAATACAAAGATAGTATCTCTTCTGAATACATCACTAGAGAGACTATTAGTCTAAGTCTCCAGAAAGTTTAAATAAAAAAATTGGAAAAGGTTCAGACAAGCCTGAGAAGACTGATTCAAGGTTTGGCGTTTGAGACTTAAAAAGCTCTATTTGCTTAACTTTTCAAAGGCAAGGGTTTTTAATCTACTAAACAAAGACATAACAATATCCAGTGGCTGTAAGCTGAAATTAGAAAAAAATCCACCTATAAATAAGGCATAATTTTTAACAGTAAAGATCCATAGGAAACCATTTACTAAGGGGTGTGCTCAAAATGAGCTAAAAATGTTATTGAAAATAACTTCTTTTCCAAGTATCTGACTAACCACCAAAAAGGCAAAGAAGATAAAAAGTGGGACCATGTTACCTGTCACAAGACATGAACAAGCTGTATGTATGACCATCAGTGTCTATCAGCTAAATCCTGTAAAATCAGTTCTTCCTCATAGTGTCCATCCAGTTCAGCTTCACTGGAAGAAATCCTAAATACATCAATTTCCAGCACCACTGTATTTCTAAGTGGTTCGTTATTGGTAAAGATATCCTGAGAATAAGTAATTTCTTCATGCAAGAGAAAAGAATCAAAGGCATATTTCCCTATTAGCAATCTCAGGTTTGTGGGCAGATTCTGAGCTCCCAACTCCCAAATCTCTAATCTCAACAGAACAGAGAGCCAGGAGCTGCTGCCTCTCAGAGTTAAGCGTTTGTTTTTATTAAGACACAAAGACATTAAGTCTCCTGATCTAAATATCTAGATTTGCATGGTGGAATGCAATAACCACTGTCCAGGAAAAAAAGGCAATGGCAAGAGTTTTTTCTCTTCTAACTTTTTTATTTCCCCAGGAAGTGTGAGATTCACATTTACTTCATTCTGCAATCAGCATAAACATGCTAGTCATTGTTTGTGTTTTGCAGTAATACTCATGTACAGCTCCAGACTAGGTTAATATGATGATCTGTATTAGCTATTTAAGACTGCAGAAGCTCAGGATATGCCTGTTACAAGCAACACTTCCTAACTGTTCCCTCGAGAAGGAAGACGCACTTAAGCTTACAAATCAGTGTTAACACATTTCTAGCATTGCCTGTTTGTATTCTAGCTCTCTGAAAAAAATGACAGAATTGCAGCATCTTCTGAAATCAGGCAGAGAAATTCTCCTCTTGTCCCCCAGTATACAGAAAGTAGCAGGGGATATGATGGTATTTTCAGTAGTTAAGAACTATATCTTAGCACTTCTGACAGAAATATGTGTGTGAAAAGCAGTCACAGTGTAATTTCACTGATCTATGTTTGCATATTTGTGTTCCACTCATAAAGGATAAGAGACCACTCAGCTATTCCAATACGCTAGTCTCAGTTTGCCATCCTCAGCAATGCCCTCATAAGAATAGAGAGTCAGGAGGCAAAATTAAGCTTCAACCTTCCTTTCTCATCATTTTCTGTTTTGCAATCCAGCACACTAAAGGTAAACTTCACTGATATTTGAATCCATCAGGTTTCAATTAGAATCCATGTAACATTTGTATGCCTATCTTAAAACTAGGCATTTTAGGGAGGCAAAGACTTATAAAAAATACAGACATTTATTCCAGTGATTTCTTACACTTTCAGCAAAACGTTCCACTTGTTGAAATATTAACTTCCTTGAAAATTCTATCTTACTAAACAGTCCCATTTACTCCTGCTGGTCATAAACAAATCATATAATAGCCATTGACATTTTGACAGTGCTGAAGAATTTGTAAGGAATTTTAATGATGGAAAACCTACCTCATCACACTTCTGAGAGTTCCAAACTGATCTTTGGCAGTGAGGCTGATAATTTGACTGTTCTGTAATATAAAAAAGCATAATTTCAAAAACAGAAATCATTTTAGACAGAAACTAATTAAATGCAAATGAAGAACTTGTACAGGATGTTAACACATAAAGTGATGTATACAGCTATAATTTAATAAGAATAATAAAACAGCTCAGCTAAATATCTAATTAAAAGACGGTTTTCACATCAAAACATCTACAGTGATATCACATAGTTCACTGCAGCATTAATCAGAAACTGAAGATATTAAATAGGTCTTCCCTTCCTTCTTGCCATCTTTCTATTCCCTCCCAATTTTAGGCTCAAACATGCTTTTAAATTTGCTGTGGTCAGTGGCAATCCTATCAAAACAGTATTAAGACACTGTCTGTCACACAGCTAGGCTGCACAAAGGAATGGGATACTGGATGGTGGGTTGTAAACCTTGGAGAAATTTACTGTAAACCTTAAAGAAGCTTGCTGCCAAAGAAAAATGGAAAAATATAAATACATATAAATACAATATGAACTGTGAAAACATTGACTTACAAAGCAAATCTTAAACACATTTCAGCTGCCAGGTCTTTACAGTCAGAGTCAACAAAGTTGGAAAAGACCTTTAAGATCAAGTCCAACCAACCATTACCCCAGGACTGCCAAGGCAACCACTAAACCTGAGATTGCAGGACCCAAATGTGAGCATGCCTAATTCTGGAAATGGTCATGTACACTGCCTGCCCCCTGTGTAGAGCTAACCCTTGCCAGGTCTACATGGGCTCTCTTGTGCGGCATCAGGTGAGGCCCCCAGATGATGAGGGCTAACATGACAGATCAGATTTGACTACTATATAAATGGGGCCAAACAGACGGCCAGTGGAGTTGGTCCTCCTCAGAGCAGAAGATCTGGAGTCAGTCAATTGCTGAGGTGAGTAGTTCGAGAGAGGACGCCTTCAACACCGGAGCGGGGGGGAGATCAGCGTCCAGGAGCCTCAACTCAAACCCACAAGAGCCACCGAAGGAGCCTCAAGTCCTCGACAGGACCGGCCCAGGAGCCGGCAGCTCAGCTGACGCGAGCAGCTGACTCACAGGGGGCGGAGCCTGAAGCAGCAGCACCAACCCTGACTGGTTGAAAACCTGCCCCAGGGAGAGCGAGCGACCCGGAGCGCGGCTAACAGAGCGGGTCGAGGCAGTCTGCTCGGGCAGGCGAGCGGGATGGTGAGCCCTCGTCGTCTGACCAGGACCCTGTCCGGGAGCTCTGCTCTGGCTGCCCCGGCGGTGGCCAGCGTAGGCACCCAGACAGAGCCGATGAGAGGGGAGGCTGCAGTGCAGAGCTCAGGGTGTAGAGAGTGCTTGCACTGGTCTTGTGAGGGGAGGGCACAATGGGCAGGGCTGAACTCGGTGCTCCCTGGTGGAGGTGCTCCTGCAGCAGGTGGCTGAGCTGCAGGATGCTGTTAGTAGACTGCAAGATGTCAGGGAAGCTGAGAGGAAGCAGGAATGCTTGCTCCTGGCCCAAACTGTGCAGGGGCCTCGAGCTTCACCTCTACCTCATGAAGGAAAGAAGGAGGCCGTTAACCTGGGAAGCTGGGAATTAGTGAGAAAAAAAAAAAAACAAAAAAAAGAAGGAAAAGGACAACCAAAAGCAAGGGGCTTCCCCCTAAATCCCTTGTCTCCACTCAGAACCGCTTTGCTGTCCTGCAGGGGGCTAATGAGGAAATGCACTCGAGCCAGAAACAGCTGGCTGATGCACTGCTAAAGAAGATCTCTACTGGTGCTGCTAGGAAAAAGCGGCGGGTCGTAGTAGTAGGGGACTCTACACTGAAAGGGACAGAAGCACTGGTCTGCCGGCCAGACCCTGTCTCAAGGGAGGTGTGTTGCCTACCGGGGGCAAGGATCAGGGATGTGGCAGAGAGGCTGCCTGCTCTAGTAAGTCCCATGGACTATTACCCACTCCTGGTGATACATGTGGGTGCTAGGGACATAGGTAGTAGTAGCCTGGGGAACATAAAGAAGGACTACAGAGCCCTGGAGGAGGTGGTTAGGGGCTCTGGAGCTCAGGTGGTCTTTTCATCAATTCTCCAGGGTACAGGGGAGGACCTTAAAAAAGCTAGGAGGATTAGCCAGGTTAATAACTGGTTAAAAGGGTGGTGTCATAGTCAGGGGTTTGGGCGTCTTGAACATGGGACCCAAGCTTGTAGGCCAGGTCTAGTGAGGGCTGGTGGAGCTGCTCTGATGATAAAGAAGGGAAAGAGCAGTTTTGGTAGGAGGCTTGCCAGGCTGGTCAAGGAGGCTTTAAACTAGATGTGCTGGGGGAGGGAAGCATCATTCCATTCCAACACACCCAGTCAGTTGCCAGAACCTATAATAAATGCCTGGAGCAATGTAGAGATATCCCAGCTGCTCCAGCCAATGAGCCGGATTCAGTTGGAGCTTGGCTCAGATGCCTCTATACAAATGCCCGTAGCATGGGGAACAAACAAGAGGAATTAGAGATGTGGGCACGTCTACGGGGGTATGATATAATAGGCATCACAGAAACATGGTGGGA